ATCTCTATCTTGTTTATTAGGTAGAACCTCAAATAAATACTTATTTAAAAATTTATAGACCAATTTACAGCATTTTTTATTTAAAACTAATCACATTAATGTTGAGGTGTTAGTGATAAAGTTTCACAAAAGCATGTATAATTACTATAACTCAAACTTTTATATGGAAAATCAGCCAACAAGCCATCCTTATGTATAGCACCTTCAGCAATTGCAATAATGTGTAAGTCACCTACTAAGCAAGAAAGTGTGTGGTTCATATCACGACTTTTGCTGCTATGGAGAGTTTGGATTTTTAATGTTTTTTTTTTACAATGTATTAAGCATAGAATAAATATTAAATATAGGATTAAAAATATAAATATTAAATCTACTTAAACATGATTTTAAAATCAAAACCTCAAATTTGCATTTAATATAAAGCTCAAAACTATTGAGGTTATCTAGTGATATTGTCTCATATTAAGCTAATCAGAAAGAATGATAGAAAGATATTATGAACCTATACATATATAATAGTAATAATGAAACATAATTAATATTTAAATTTTTTGGAGCATACTTTTGAAAAGCATTTTCAAAAAGCATAATATTATTTATTAATGATGGTATATATTATAATTGTTATAGTAGACCGTGAGATTGGATTCAATCTGGACTAGTCACTCATATATAAGGTTTTGGGCTAATGGTGGGAATGAGGGGCAATAATCTCCTTCATGGGTTTGTTTTCAGAACTACTAGAAGAAATATATGCATAGCTGTTCTTGGGTTCAAATCAGGTTTAGTGTTTGAATCTCACAACAAGCATAGATGGTAAAAAGTACCTCCAATAAATACAGAGAGATGATAAATATATAAAATCAATATTTGATAATTATTATTCTGTTGGTTCAAATTGAGTCTATAAGTGGATGAATATATACCATTTTTTTTTATAGTAATAGTGGAGATGAGATCCCCTTCATAGGTCTATCTTCACAAAGAGGGAGATAAAAATAATAGAAGTAGAGGTAGAAGTAAAATGATACAATCGTCATGAAGGGTGGCCTTGTGTTCTTTTGCTTCTCTTGACAAGAAGTTGCTAATGTCAAGTTTTGGAATTAATATTTAACAAGTGTTTTTCTATGTGGTTTAATAGAGTCTACAAAGTAGATAATTTGGTATTAGTTATTTCCTAAGCTTACAATATGTAATTTGCCCAAGAATACTTACTCAATACAAAATACCGTATTGCAAGTAAAAGTGTTTTAACAACTTTAACACATTTTTAATTATGAGTTGTCTTCTTTTTAATTTTTAATAATAGATCAATAAAAAACATAGGCTATATATGTTTTTATAAAAAAAACTGGTATTATTATATTTTGTATTTAATATATATTAAATATTTATATTTTTTATTGACTATATATATATACCTTTGACTTAATTTTTAAAGAAACTATATACTATATGTGCGATACTATATATAAACTTCTGAAATAAATTAAATATGTCCATACTATATACAGTATTAAGTTTTTAAAAAACTAATGTTAAATTTTAATAATACATGATTCAAGATATCTCAAAAATAATAAAAATTATAGATTACAATTATGATTATAAAAAATCGAAAAAATTAAAAGTACCATATATTAATATATTGAACAGATAAAACATATTTATTTGTATATAAAAATATAAAAAAGTAAGCAAAAAATTACAAAATTTTATAAATGTGAATTCTAGAAATATATAATTAATTTAAATGTGTTTGATGTGAGTGACAATGGCCATTATAGCAAGAACATAACAAGAGCAGACCAAGAAGCATTTAAAAAGATATTATTACTTATGCTGGTGATGGATGAAAGCCATCAGTTCCCAAGTTATAGTCAAAGGGTAATGCAATATTAGAAATATTAGTTATAATCGACGACAGGCTTCGGTTGCTAGGTTCTTGATGGAGATGTCACTCAACCTTCTTTCTAAGGAATCATAATGCTGGTATAAGGTCACAAGAGCTTAAGGAACAGGGCCATATAAGTGGATGCTCCAATTGCTGGTGAGGTATGTATTACTGCTTGTAGACAAGATCAACTGACCATGCAAAGACCATTCTTTCTGGGAAAGATTCTTTTATATAAGTTTAATGACAATGAGCAATAGATTTTTGTTATTTTCATTCATTTCTACACTTTCATTCTATAGCTCATTGCTGTAAACTTATATAATTTATTTCATTCGGGATGATCTACTGATTTCATACATCTATAGCTCATTGCCATGACGAACTGTACACTCATACAAATAAAACAACTACTTCTCATTACTCTTGACAAAAATCATAGAACAGTTAAAGCTTAGCCAAGGACTCGGGAGATCATCACTGCATTTTATTTCATGAGGCCTAAATTGTTACTACACAACCAGCCTCTAATCACCGCATACATGAGATATGCGATTCTCAGCAGCACTCGAGGTTGCCATTGCTGTTTCGGACGCAACTGTTGAGGTCGCGCGAAGAGAAGATGGGCTGGTTGGAGACGCTGGGGCACGTCGCACTGACGGTGGTGCCCGAGTACTGGACACCGGCGCACGACTGGAAGTAGCCGCTCGAGCAGTCGAGCTGGCCATTGTTGTTGCCCACGCAGGTGTTTAGATCAATCTGCGAGCGCACCGTGGCACCGGCTTGGTTCACGCAGTTTGCAATCAGGGTGCTGCCGCCATAAGTTATGCCGCTGCAGGATCGGGAGAAATCGCACTGGGCCTGCACAACAAACAGACACTCACGTAAGAAAACATTGGATCAAACTTGAAACATCTGGATCAAGATTGAGATAACCACGTGATCGAGATATCTTTCTATCAATCCAAACGTGAGATATTGCGAAATTGAGATCTAAACGTGAGATATCTATCTCGCATGGAAAGTGAGAAGGAATATATCTAGCATGGAATAAACATTGAGATGTCTATCTAAAATGGAAGATTGTAGATCAAAACGTGAGATATCTATCTATCAGAGGTAGTTATGGCGAACAAGGATCGAGAGCACTCACTTCGATCACTCCCAGAGTCACCACCACCAAGATCAAAAGTGTGAGGAGACGAGGAGCCATTTGCGGAGAGCGTAGAGAATATGTGTAATGTGAAGAAGCGAGAGCTTCTACTTTATACCCGGGACCTTCCAACTCGGCCACGGCTCTCGTGGGCCCAAATTGCATTGACGTAGCGATCATCCGCTACACAAAATTCGTAGTCAAGAAGGGTGGTTCCTCGACTTGAGTTCGTGTTGTAGTGTTCCTCGACTCAGAGCTCACGGACTTCCCATGGATTGATCCTTCATTTCGCTCTAATCCCAGCTTCTGGAATGTGACACGAAAGCTCTCCGTCAATCCAGCGAAGAAATGCAGCTCACCACGCACTGCTCCAGCTCCGCGTCCGAGATGACCAGCGGCGGCGCTAGCCTCATTGCGTCGAAGGTCCTTCCTCACGTGAGTGAGTGGCTTTTCGCACTGGCACCATGTTCGATCCGCAAACAAGAAAAGGAGGCGGCGAGCCAGCCCTCCTTGGCCTCCAGCTAGTATTGTGTCTTGCCTTGTGGAAGAAGCACTTGAAGGTGGCGGCGCTCTAGCAGCTCCATGGCAACGAGGAGAGCTTGTTGGTGCTGCTTTGTGGGCTTCGTGGTACCGTCGAATCAGAAGGGCGGAGCTTGAGATAGTGTTACCAGCTCATCGGCATCGACGTCCAGCGACACGAAGCGCTCGCTTTGGTGGACGGCGGCGGCGCTGGGGGCCAAACTTACCTCTCCCTCTCCTCGGAATTGGGACCCCCCCCTCCGCGCTTCCTTGGGCCCCCGCTCAATGCCCCCTTTGACTCAAGGGGGGATCCCCTGGCTGGCCTGGTTCTGGCCCCTCCGGGTTTCTTG